CGATATCAACATAGAGTTTCAAAAGATTCTTCACAAGATACCGAACATAGAGTTGGTGCCCCTCAAAAAGTGTACTGGTAGCAGAAGATGAGCCAATGCACACACACACACACAAGTAAAAAGACGTAAATACCCTTTGTAAGTAAATAACATAAGATGACAGAATTAACAAGGCATCCAACAATTCAAAACTTCAACCATTTTGGCTCTTAAGTAAGGGTTCCTAATTTACTCTGGACTTTCCATGAACATGATAATCAAGTTCATAAAATCATCCTGCCAAAGAGAAAGACCAGTGACTTGGTTGACCAAAACTTGTTGTTTCTTGAGTATCTTACTTGAAATCCAAACGAGATAAGAGTATCTTACTTGAAATCCAAACGAGAACCTTAAAAGACATATTTAGGGTCAATTTTGTCTTTCTTTGTTGAATTCGCATCCAAAAAAGGTTCACACAATCGAAGCATAACAACACTAAGGTTCACAAATATGTCTGAACTTGCAGAAGACATAGGATCAACCTATCACCAATCACAAATTATGCAATATTAATAAAATTTTCACTTGGATAGATAAATTATGCCTTTATGGTCTAAAAAGTTTTTTTTACCTGGATACGAACCCTTGATGCATTTTTGTTGAAGATGAGCCCTGAATACGAGCACTTGAGCACGGTCCCTCTTAAATCCTCATATAACTGCTTCAAGATCGTTTCCATGGAATCGTAATCTGAATCCCTAAATAACTCATCCAAAAAACCAGGAGGGGAAGAGGCACCACCGCTACTACCACCACCAAAAGTATCGATTGAACTAGAAACTTCAGAGAAAATCAAAGGCAACAATGGAGAAACATTCGATTTACCTCTTTGGGAATCGGCGAAAACTTCTATCCATTTAAGTATTAATCAGATTATCAAAATCACATTTGATCAGAAGTTAGAGCTCAGATTAAAATTAAAATAGACAAAGGATTTGTTCATAAAGGAAGAAGGAGAAGCGGACCTGCAAACGGAGCCGAAGGCGGAGTTGCTACAGGTGAGGTGTCGAGGTGTAGTAGGAGTTGCTGCAACGGAGGAGTCGAGGTGTAGTCGAAGGTATGTAGTTATGCGCAATCCGTTTACGTCTCAGATAAGTGAAGAAGAAGTGATGGACAACAAAGGGGAAACGACTTCGAGTCTTCTGTTTGGGAAAGTGAGAAACAATCAAACAACCTAATTCTGTCTAGACTGGACTCTGGGATTAAGAAATAGGCACTTCTCATTTTTTAATTGGAGTTAAACTAGTATTGGGCAAGTATTGGGCTGTGATAATTAAAATATTAAATGTTGTGGGTTTAACTTTTATTATTTATAAATACCAATTAAAATATAATACAATAAAATACAATTACATATAAAAAATTAAATTATATATATATATATATATATATATATATATATATATATATATATATATGGGGTGTTTGGGAGTGCTTTTTGAACTACAAAAGTGCTTTTAGATAAAAGTGCTTATTTGCTTATAGTGGTGATAAAAGGAGTTTTTTAAAAAGTGTTTGGATAATAGGATGCGGTATGGGCCAAAAACGAGAAGCAACCGGGTGATGTGGCACCCTCAACGGCGTCGTGACGGGGGGGAACACCGCCCCCCTATGTGTTATGGTACATCTCGTTGGTGTCATGACATTTTGCAACGGGAGAATTGGCCAATAGCATCATTTTTCTTTTCCTCTCTCTCTTTCTCTCTCTACTCTCATAACATGTCATAACAAGGAACACCATTTCCTACATGGTGTTAAGGTGGTGTTATAGTTGAGCTGGCATGTGAAGTGGTGTTATAACATTGACCCACACCCAATGCTCTAAGCTTTTATAGTGAAAAAGTCAATAAGTCAATAAGTTAAAAAGTGTTTGACTTAAAAAGTGCTTTTTGAAGTTATATTGGTTGAAAAGCCATAAGCAGTTTCAAAAAGCCACGTTTTACATGCTTATTAAAAAGTGCTTATTGAAGCTTATGAAAAAGCTATTCTCAAAAGTGTTTTTGAGTTTGCCAAACACTTTTTTTGGCTTATTAGCTTTTCAAGAATCCAATAAGCAAATAATCACTTTTCAATCGCAATCCCAAACACACCCCCCCCCCCCCCCCACATACACCACACACACACATATATATATATATATATATATATATATATATATATATATATATATATATATATATATATATATGTTACGGTCAGGTCTGGTTTTTAGACGGTTTGAAATCTTAAAAACCGTAAGTCAAACCGTTCACTACGGTTTGAAAAGTTTGAAACCGCAAGCCAAACCGTAAAGAAAAATACAAACCATAAACCAAACCGATGACCAGTTTGGCCGGTTTCACGGTTTCAAACCGAGCCGCGATCACCCCTAATTAGTCTGGTTATAACGACTCACATAGAGAATAACAAAATATTATAAGATTTACGCTAAATACACATACCACTCAGTTTTACAAATTACAAACATTGTGTTGATTATTTTGTACTATCCACATCACTCCGGTCTTAGGGTTTTTAAGACCATGATTGCTCATAACACAGAAAATACAGGATTTTCTGGGAATCACTCTCTACACATTTTCAAACAAGATAAATCAAGAATACTCATGCAATTATACATGATTTGAAACAAAACTCATAAACTATTTTTGTTACAGAAAATATCGAATTTTCTGGAGTTTACAAATTATCGCAAAGTTTTCATATAAACATGCTTATGAACTCACCAACATTCCATGTTGACGCTTTTCAAAATAACATGTATTTTCAGGAACTCACTAAATAAGTTGGCAGCTAAGGAATTTAGATTTTTGTTGTGTATTGATTTCACCATACACTTGATATTTTTGGGATGTAATTTTATGAAAAAACATAATGATGTAAACTATGTATGTTGTTATATTTTATGTATGGCGATGATGATGTCTACGTTTCAATTATATACACTTGTTATGATATTACAAAATGAAGTCACCCGCCCCCGGACGTTTCCGCCGTTCTGGTTCGGGGGTGTGACAATCAGACATGTTATAGTTCTTGTTCGTAGAAGGGGGACAGAATAGGAAAGTAGTTGGTATCAACAATATATGTTAGGAACTTATGTGTTGTATGAATTTTATGTGAATGTGTGTAATATGTGTAGGTATGCGTATACTCACTAAGATTTATGCTTACGCTTGTTTATTAACATTTTTTCAGGACCCACCCAGGTAGACAGAGGAAAGAAACCAATGTATTTTAGTTTCCTATTATTATTATTATTATTATTATTATTATTATTATTATTATTATTATTATTATTACGACAATTTGGTTATGTAGTTTGGGATTACGACTTTCGTATCTTGGTTTATGAAACCTATTAGTAAACTCTAATATTATATATTTGAAAGTTTTCATAGGATGATATCACAAATGTTTTCTTTTACAAATAATTTTATTAAATCGAAAGCTATGGTTTTAAATGTACAATCTTTTCAAAATAAAATAAAATTAGGGTGTTACATTCTATGTATAGTTTTTTTTTTGTTCTTGATATTGTAAATTTATAATACAATTGATATTGTGACTGTAATGTCTATACTCTATACACATCTAATGGCATTTTGACTCTAAGAAAGTGGAAGTTCATTTACATTCCATGCATCATTTGGTTTTTCCAATACAAATTAAAGAAATAAGTAAAAAAAACAGTAAAAACAACGCATTAAACTCTATAAAATTCAATGTTACATTAACATTTCACTATCCATACAACTTCACTATTCAACTTATACAATACACCAAACTCTACAAAGTTCAGTGAAATACATGTTAAAGTTTTTGAATTTTTTTTTTCCTATTGAACAATTCAATGGCCATGTAATCCATTGAATGCCAATCTATAACCAACTGTGATCAAACTTAATCCATTGAATAAAAATTATGTATTTAATTTAATTTAACTATTCTATTGAACAATGCATTGTGAATGGTTTTAAGACGAGATATACAAAGAAATACCATGTTGCCCTCGTATCATTGACGTTGAGGAGGGTTCACGGGCTGATGTCACATATGCTAGCCCAAGGGACAAAATGTGTAATAAAATAAGGAAATAGTAACCAAAATTGTAATAAACTGAGTCTTATGCGTAACATATTTTGTGAAACAAAAAGAAAAGAAGAATTTAGTTGCATTTTAATTCTATTTAGTATTTACTTTTGATTGTTCTAAGAAACCATATCAGGTGGAATTAGAAAAGAAAGGGGATATTTTGTGTAATAAGTAAGGGGTTGATTGTATTTGGGATTCGTTTGCTTTACTCATTTCGTACAAGTGCTGCTTTGACGACGTTAAAAAACCCTAGGTTCCAAAATCGAAGCGATTGTTGACATTCCAGTCGATTTCGACCTCGCACTTTGCAAACTTTGCAGAAAACTGAATCTCATCAAGGTAAAAACGAATTTACATAATTATTTTCTTCTAATCTGTTCTTTCTCTTTTACAAATGTTGTTTGTCTTTTTACAATTGTCCACGACATGCAATCTAGATCCATATAAGGCTTGATAGATTTTCGACAATGTTGTTACTTGTATGTATGGTTTTAGGTTTTGTAATGTTAGGACTCGAAGTTGGTTACATTACGAATTCACTTTTATGAGTTGAAGAAGGTTGATCGAAATCGAAGTGTCTTCTTGGATTGTAGTTATATGGTGGTCCATTTTGTTTTCCGTATAGCATGCATACAACATTGTAGAATATAGAATCATAAAGTTTGGTATTGATTTTCTTACAGCAAAGTGATTCCGATTTCAAGTAGAATGTATACACGAAAAAACTTAGTGTTGATTATTAAACTTAGGTCTGTAGTTTGCCTTCATTTTTATGTGTTGATTTTCTCACAGTTTGCAATTTAGAAGCCGATACATTCCATTAAAGAAGAAACACTTTTCTGCATCATATGGGGGTATCAAGAAACATGTATGGAAAGCGTTCCAATTCTGACTCTGATGACCACAACGATAATGAAGGAACTAAAAAAAGAAACGATGGTGATGATAGAGGAAAGAGCTTAATCGGTCCATATGATACTGTATTCCGATACTTATGCCCTAATGAGAAACTCATGAGCATAATGGGAGGGCGTTGTGAGACTCTCATAAAATTAGAATCCGAAACTAATTCAACAATCCAGTTTGGTGATAAAGTGTTAGGATGTGTAGAACGCGTTATTATTATCTACAGCACAAAAGACAAAACAAACAAATTTGATGGAACTGATCAACTAGTTTGTCCATCACAAGATGCCCTTTTCAAAGTACATGACATAGTAGTAGCTGATGAAGTGGGGCCCAATGAGGTTGCTGACATGGCACCACAAGTTACAGCTCGTCTCCTTGTCTCATCTGATCAAATCGGATGTGTTATTGGAAAAGGTGGAGAAATTGTTCAAACTATAAGGACAGAAACCGGTGCTCAGATTCTTATTATGAAGGATAATCATTTGCCTATTTGTGCATTCAGCAATGATGAACTCATACAAGTAAGCTTATATTTTATGTTTTTTGACATGTTTGTAGCGTGTAACTAACAGTTTAAGCTTATGTGTCATTTTTCTTGTGATTTGATTCAGATATCTGGTGAAGCTTCTGCTGTAAGAAAAGCATTATTTCAAATAGCATCACGTCTTCATGAGAACCCATCAAGATCTCAACATCGCTTACTTCCTCCCTCCATTATGGTATCAGCTCCACCTGTTGATACCAAGGGTGAATCATTTTCAAAAGATTTTTCTCTTCTTTTGATTTGTCCTTCTTCAAGTGTTGGTTTTGCAAATGGCATAGATAGTGGCTTAATCAAAGATATTAGTCAAAAATATGGAGCAAGTGTGAACGTCAATCCCCCAAGAACTTGGGGTGAAGATTGCATAATATCTGTCACTGCAGAGGAGGTAAAAAAAAATTTCTTTTGCCACATCACATTTTCAGTTAACTTTTATCTAATAATTACCTATTATTACAAACTTTCTCTAATCATAAACCTTTTTTTTAATCTTCATCCATATGAAATGTTCTATAAATCCCTCTCATCTAATCTATCATTGTTAAGCAGGCGTATATAGTTACAGAAATAAAAATAATAATAATAAAGTTACTATATGTTCCTTGTGTTTTTTAGTATTTGATATTGATGTTTCAATTGGTTTGACGAATGCTTTTTTAATGATATATAGTTTTCTATCAGTAACAATCTTAATTTTGATTTTATATCTAATTAATAAAGTAGATTCATTTGTTAGAACTATTTAATATTTTAATATGATTAAGGGGTAATATAAACTAGTACTAAAGAAAACGGAAAAAAAATTGTAACAAAGGCTATTCCCAAGTTGTTAGTCAGCTAACATCTTGTGCTGATTGAATCTTGATAAAGTATGAATCTTTTTCTCATGATGATTCTTTTATGTACAGATCTCTGATCACATATATTCTCCAACTATTGAAGCAGCAATATGTCTACAAATGAGGAGTAATTTCAGGGATAAAAGTGACTTTTATTCAGGTCTTATTTCATATACCACTCAATTACTTGTTCCCTCTTCTCATGTTGCCTCCATAACTGGGAAAGAAGGCTCCATAATTTCTGAAATTAGTAGAGTCACTCATACTGATATTCAAATACTTTCAAAAGAAAACCTTCCAAAAGTGGCCAAACACTATCATGATGAAATGGTGCAGGTATATATTTTTCATATTTAATTAAAATATCAGCAAATTGCACGAAATAGCACATTATATTGTATCCATAATAGCAAGAAACTTACATTTAAATAACCATAATAGAGATACACTTGCATGTTTTACTGATAATAGCAATATGTAGCTCACTCACAATAGCAACATTCTTCCATTATCTTTACACAAGCAATGTACTTTACATTTCATTACCAATAATAGCAATATGTAACAAACAAAGTACAATGTCCATATTTGTAGCAAAATGTAAGTACATTGCTATTATAGATAAAGAACTGTAAGTACAATTTCTATTATCACTAAAGAAATGTAAGTAGGTTACTATTATAAGTAAAAAGTTAAATCACATTGCCTATATTGGTAGCAAGAGTAAAGTATAAAATATTCAGATATAGAGAATTAGATAGAGATGGAGCATACCATGATGAGTGTTGACCCTTTTTGTTAATTTTTCTTCTATAGGAATTGTGGAAGATATGCCTGTGTGTTGAATGCATTTCGACACGTGGCATCAATATTGAGGGAAAAAGTTTTTGATAGAGAATGGGAAAATTCAGCTTCTGGTCAGGTTTTTAAGTATCTTGTAGCACCTGAAGTTTCAAAGTATGAAAGTGGAGATTCCAAATGGAATGGACATTCTTATTCTAGCAGATATGGAACCTATGGTGGCTCGCAGGTACTTAACCCTAAAATCTAAACATTAAACACTCAAAAAATAAGTCCTGTATGATTTCTGTTTGGTTAAAGTGTTGTAGGCGCAAGGTATTTTTCTTTTTATAGATTGCTTAAATGAGACTAAATGACCAATTTACCCTTACATTCCGATGCAACAAGTACCACAATTTTCATCAATTTTAACATGAGAGGAGTTATGAGGAAAAAGAAGGAAGACCAAATAGATAAATAAAGTATGAACCCATTAAGCCACTTTTTTTGGCTTAACCAATTAAGTCGTTCTAGATAGATATACAAAAAAATAAAATAAATAAATAAATAAAATAACCGTGTATAGAATGGTTAAATCATTAAGTAAAAAAAGAACCTCTAAACTTTAAACTTATTGTAATTGGGAGATTACCTTAGGTCTCATTTAAATTGAAAGAAACTTTTTCTAGGCAATTACTTTATCTTTATATGCATTATATTTATATTTTTAATTTGGTGGTCTTGGTAGGGGAAAAGTGGTGGTGATACTTATTGATCATACGGTGGTAGTTATTCTCCAAGACGTAGCAGTGGTCATGCTAGGTTTTGGTAAGTGGGAGTTTCTTTATCTACTTAAATGTAAAATGACAATGCTGCCCTTCAATTTATATTTGTTTTTATTTATTATTAGCATTAAGGATGATGATGGTAATGTTAACTTGAGGATAGGCTAAGTATCTTGTACACAACAAGTGACACAAAGTTATATGTAGAAGAGAGAAATTTACACAACACTAACTTGTGTAGTGATGCAGGAAAAACTAACAATGACAATGTGCCGTATAGGCTTAAAAAAGAAATCATAAACAAAGGATAAAATAACTGACCACTAAGCTAGGAAAAACAGGAAACAACTATCCACTAAGCAAACACTTATTTAACAAAGAAAATAAGATAAACAACCAGGGGGTGCTTTGCACATGCCTGTATGACACACACACACACACACGTACACACACACACACACACAGAGAGCAGGATTTCTTGGGCTTACACACGTCACCAGGAAACTTCTTACTTTCTAACCCTCTAGGTTGTTCCATGTGTATTACACGATCAAGATCGTCATATAGGAATGTGTTGCTCACGTCCATCTACCATAACCCTTGTTTTCTACTAGGGCTAAGAGAACACGTTGTTGGATTAGATGTCTAAGCCCATAACTATTATTGGTATGTACTTGACCCGAGAGTAGCATGGTCCATTTGGGTTGCATATCATCAGGACAATTTGTTAGGATGGACTTTTGAGAGAAGGTTATTTATGGTTTATTAATATATTATAAGTTATAATATATTAATATGAAATCATATGTTTTAATTAGTATCGATCAAGAATTAATTTGGAATATATTTAGTGATCAAAAGAGACTAATTAAATCTATGGGGACTAATTATGATAATTAGTTATATTTATATGTGTTGGGCTTATGATCCATGTTGGACCAAGTTTATGTATGGATACATAAAGAGTTGGGTCACATGAACCATGAATCATAAAACACATGGGTATGGATTATGGGTTATACCCATGACCCTTGGAATCCTACATATAAATAGGTTACTCCATAGCCAAAATCACCACTTCTTTTCTTAGAGAAATATGGAGGTGTTTTGGTGCATGGAATTCCCTCTCAAGAGCCACCTTTGTCCTAGGTGTGTTGTGATTTCATTTGAGGCATTTCATACTATTGGTGCTAAGCTCTTAAGGCCAAATACATCAAGACTTCAAGCCACATAAAAGGTATGTTTCCCTAACTAGTATATTATATGGTTTATGTCAAATGCATGCTAGTTATAGGTTTAATGCCTTGGAAACCATTTGCATGTATAATAGAGAAAACATAGATCCAAGGTATTTAGGGTTGTATGTGCACCATAGGATGTTGTAGTATACTAAAACCCACAGTGGTATCAGAGCCATGGGTTGTTTTCTATTATATTTGATGCAAATGTATTTTTTTTTCAAGTTGAAGGAAAAAAAAAAAGAAAAAAAAACATGAAGTTTGTCAATTTTATGATAATTACTTGATTTTAAAAACTAATTATTTATAAAATTTGAGTCACTTTACTACAAGAGTTGAATTAGGTCAATTTATTAAAAGATAGAATGATATGATTATTTTATTTGTTTTAAAAGTTTGATCTAAATGGTTTTAAGGAGTTACAAATTTTGTCATAAAATTTTGGAACTCAAAAGTTTTTTTTAAAGTTATGATCTTAAGAGTTTTGAAACTTCCATAAGTTATGGATGTGAAATGTCTCATTTATTAACTCTTTAGGTTATGAATTCCAAGAGTCTTCAAAGGATAATTGTCAAAGTTTCAAGATTTGTATTAGTTTATATGATTATCTAATTTCTTGAAAATTATTGATGTGAATTATCTTTACTTATGAGTTTAATCTAGATCATAGAAAAATTATTTGATTATTGTGTTAATTGGAATATTTTATCTTAATGGTTTTTATGAACTCCATAACTTGTCCTCAAGTTATGGAAAGTGAAGAGTTTTTCTTTTTAAGTGTCATTAAGTCTCATAGGTTATGAAAATAGAAGAGTCACTATTTTTAATGTCATCATTAAATGATTTAATGTCTTCCATAACTTGTCCTCAAGTTATGGAACTTGAATTTTTTTTTTTCATTAAACCTTAATTAAACTCATAAGTTATGAAAAATCCAAGAGTTTTGAAAGGTTTCAAAACTTGTCCTCAAGTTTTGGAATTTGTAAAGTTACCCCCCATGTATACTTTAATTCCAAACTAGACCTTAGAATTTTAAAAGTTTAAAATTTAACCCTTATACTATTATTATAATTTTAATTATATAGATATGTATAAGATAAAGTCGTCTTACCATTAGTAGGCCTCATTCACGAAGCCGGTCTATAAGGGGGGTATAAGGTTACTGCCTATAAAATGGCAGTTTAATGGGTGTCCACTCTCACTCACCGCTTCCTTGACCGGTGGAGGGTCGTTAGCCGAACAGGTAGGACAAGGACTATAATTTTCCCTTCATTATAAGTATAATGATAAATACTAAGTAACTAAACACTTATAAATTCCCAATCTTAGTTACTTAGGAAAATGTGAATAAGGTGCTAATCCATGAAATTACACTTTGCACTTTGTTTAAGCTGTTAGTGGAGCGTGTGTGGTTAACCGGCACACTAACATGGACTTAACAAGGTAGGCAAAGGGTAACTTAATGTTTATCATAGTATCGTTGGAGCGTGTGTGGTTAACCGGCACATCGATTGAGGGGTAAATATTTGGGGTACCAAGTATATTTGCATGGTTACTTCACACCTTGTTTTGTGATCCTCGGCATCCCAGTCACAAAACCTGAAGGGCACACTCGAGATTGAAACATGCCATTGAAAATTTCAATGAATCTCAAAAGAATCTAGGAGTTTCAAAACCAATTAAAACCTAATAATACATTTCGTTTATCTTGGTGGAAATTGGTGAATCGTCATTCACCTACCTTCAAATATTTTATAGCTTGGATTACGGCATCCCTCTTCCAAGTTATAAAATAGTTTGTTGGGTCCTAGCCTTAATATATCATATTGGGTGTTATATTAAGGACTTAAATCAACTTTACGTGAATTTCTCCCATTGTTGATGTCTGGTTTAGACAACAATGATCTTCCCAAACCAAGCTTTCCTAATGAATATGACTTCCCGAGTTTTTGCTCATGGAAGTCATACTTCTCTTCCTCCACCTCCTCCAATTATTCTCCCTAACCCACAAGTTCAAGGTCAGTCAAGCCCTAATGGCAAGCAAGGTCTATGTGTGATCACATCTTAGAGATGAAGTCACATATTGACAAGCCGGGAGAGTTGGGTGTCAAAGTCTTGAGAAAGTTGGATGTTCAATCACTTTCTAAGTCACATAGTGAGTTCCTTTGGGACTACTATGAAACAGACTATAACATGAACCTTAATGATCATATCTATTTGCTTGGTGCTGCTGAATCAGCAATGATTTGGAACGATAGTGAAGCAAATTTTATTAGAAGATCAACTTCCCAAAAACTTTATGGACAGTGACAATGGTGACACTGGAAATCCAGAAAAAGCATTCTCTTCCCAATGGAAAGGGATTGGCCATAGTAAACCCGGTTGACCAAATGGTAAAGAGAAAGGCTAAGTCTGAGATAGTCCCATTACCAAAGGGTCCATATGTTTATTTTGCCAAAGGAAGAGGCGTTGATTGCAAAGCTGCCAAATTTACCTAAGGATGTTAAAGTCAATAAGTTTGACTCTACATCAGGTAGAGCCCATTATCTAACTCTGTTAAGTTCTATTCTGAGATCCTCATTACATGATGTGACTGGGTCACATGTTGATGTTTTAAGAATCAAAAAATAGAGAGAAATCTTAAAGGAAGTATATGCTTATTCTGATCGCGAAGGTGGATTTCGATTGCATCAGAATTTTGAGCAGTTGCTTAAGAAGTTATGATATATTGCTAAGGAATAGATAACAACAATTTTCCATGTGGATTGTAAGGATAAGTTTTTCCGCAAAGTTTTAAAATAAAAGAAAATTGTTTAATTTTGTTTATTTGAAGTATCCTTACAATGGCATTTGTGGAAATTGTTGCTTATATGATTCCACTGACAGCAATATTGGAAAATGGATTTGATTCTTTCATTTGTGGTAGTGTCTAAATTTACCAAATCAGGAAAGTTCCTCATCACCCAAGTTTCAATTGGACCGAAACCAAGACTAATTACTTGTTCACATGGATGTGTGAATCAAGTGAATGACTAAAGGGATCGAGTACACATTCTTGTGCACTGGTCATGTCCACCACAAAGCTCGTTAAGACTATTTGATTTACTAAAGTTTAGTAAATATGGTTATACTTACAAGTTTAAGTATAATTCTGAAACATTGGAAAAGTCTCAATGTATGGCAGAACGAATGGGAAGAATCAAATTAGGCAGAAAGATAAAAGTTTCTCAAATTGAAAAGATGGGGAGTACTTTAGTATCATGTTTGTGATCATCTTAATGATTTAGAAATCATATCACAATTAGTCCTCTAAAGGTCATCTTAGTGCATTCTTATGACTAAGAAGAGGAGTCATGAATTGTTGAAATGGTTAGATCAGGAAGATGAGTCATACTTCGTTCCAAAACAATTCTTAGATTCATACTCCAAGATTGTAACTTGAGTGACATATCTTAAAGAAAGGTTTAAATCACTTGTCAAATGTAAGAGTAAAAGTGTCCTACTCTTGTACATTTGAAATTGGTAAGTTGTGATGTTTTGGATAAAACAAAGACCAACTAAGGCCAATTGTGTGAAGTGTTTGTCTTGATAAAGAATCCGCACTATCTCTTGAATATTTGGCAAGATAGTCTTATATGTCAAGAGGATAGTGGGAGTCTTAAAGATCCTAAAAAGAATTTCAAGAACTAATCAAGAATAAAACCTGAGGTTCTTCACTAGCACACGACTTGAGGTTTATAACCTATCGTGTTGACATATTATGTGCCCATTCCAGTTAAAGTTGGCTTTGCATAGGAGTTCTGAAAGTTCTCAATTGGTTGCATAACAACTTGGAAGCAATGGCAGGCCCTGTACTGCCAGGTGGCAAGAAGTTAAGATTGCATAAGTTCAGTCCATATGAGTTTGGATTTGTCATTAT